TTGATTATTTTAATCTGTACTTTAAAGTCTTATGTTCTTATTATCAGTAATTAACAATTAAGTAAATAAATATTTATCAATGTAATTTTTAGTTTCAATTACAATCCAGATAATTATTTATTTCAACTATTTGATGAAAAGTTTATTGTAAAAATGTCATTTAACTTATATTTATTACATGATTCACGTAATAAGTACAATAAATTTATATATTTTCGACACATCTGACAATTATATCAATTGATCATGAATTGTTATAGAAAAATGAGGGTTACCAAGGCACATTTGAGTAATTTACTTTATAGATTCATTTAGAATTTCTTAATAAAAAATATATTTAAATTGAAAATAAATTAAAAGATACCTTGTACAAATAATATATTATAATATTCCTAATAAACTAAATATTTATTTTATTTGGAAAAGTTATTTATTAAATAAACAATCAACCCAAAAATTATAGTTAAAACACTTATGTTTTATATAAATCCTTAATTTTTATTAACACATAATCCAATCAAATGTTATGGCATATCAGGTCATAATAAACGGTTATTATGGTACTTTTTATGGTTACCTAATAACACAATCTATAAAGAAATTGTCAATTATGCTATTTATCGATGAATTATTCCATTTGTAAAAAATATTCACTGATTTTCACTGATATTCACACAAATGAACCAATTAAACAATAACAACTTATCTTAAAACAATACAAAAAACAATACATCTACAAAGTATATATATATATAAGCAATCGATTTTTATACATTTACTATATTTTATTTTTTGTAAAGAAAATTATTTCACTTTATATTGAATTTAAATATTTTTAAAAATTTAATATGAAGTATATACTGTGCTTGGTGATTGTAATTGTATGCGGTGTGAATCTGTGTCATTCAGTGAAATTAACAATCGGCGCCTACAAAAATATTAGCTCGAGCGTTAATATAACCTGTGAACCCGACCTGGATAAGAAAAACGAATTTCTGTACAACTTGACTGTGACCAAAAATAATCAATTATTCTATAGCTATTCAAACGATTCTATTAGAAAAGGTATTAAACAAGCACCATTCTAAATATCTTATTAATATGTTATGTTACAGTATAAATTTATGTCAAGTTTATTACTTGCATACTGTATATTAATATAATCATATTTATTTATCTAGATCCTAATCATGGCATATTTCAGAATATTTCAGGGATTGACACTATAGACCAGATTAAATTAAATATGTTTGTGATCAATAAACTCAATAAGACTAGTGCGGGAAACTATAACTGTACAGTTTACTATAAAGATAAAAATAAACAGAACCCACGTTCTCGTTCAGGCTTAGCCATCCTAAACGTGACCGACTCAACACCTCCACCCAAATTGTGTACGTGATTTAGACAATTTAAATTTTATCATGTTAATTTTGTATCATATTTCTATTGTATTGCTGTACAGACGATGCCAAATTGACATTTTCAACGGACAAGGTGAAAAAGGGCAATGACTTTAACTTAAGTTGCTCATACAAACTCCAAAAAGCAGACTTTTACAAATCCGTACGAGTATTCAAAGATGATACACTATTTGTCAGTACATACAAAAATGGTATACATTAACATTGTTACCTTGCTCGAAAACAGTTAGGACAATAAAATAATTCTAAACTTGTATTAATATAGAATCGGTTAGAAATGTAACAGGCCTCAATTATAAAGGGTATAGCTTAACTCAACCAACTAATATTACGGGTACATTTAGTCTGGCCTTTAAGAATGTGACCAAGGATGCAGCCGGCAAATATCGGTGCGAAGTGGAGTTCTTCGCCAACCAAACCAATTGGGCCATTAAAGCCGAGTCATACCTGTCCAATGCCTGCCAACACTTGTTGTCATACGTGTTGGCGATTATGTGTTGTATTGTGTTTGCAATCAATCACTAATTGATAACATTTAGCTAAACCACAGACTATTGTATGCATTCAAGTGTGTGAATTGAGTCCGGTTTCACATATTTACGATTATTTCTTATCAATATTTCTTATAATTTCTTAACAATAATTGTATTTAATTAATACAGTAATATACTGTATATCGTATGCAATAAATGTTTTTAATCTGTAATTCTAATATTCATATTTATTAAATTAATTAATTTGTAATAAATTATTTTCTAAACTAAAATATAATATTTTTAATTAAAAATATCTATTTTAAAGTAATGTCTATATTTTAAATAAAACAATTATTTTGTTATTTTGAATGTACAATTGTATAATAATAGTTTTTTGTGTTCATACTAGTACATGAGCTATATTTAATCTAGGATTGCATAATAAATGCAATTATTAAAGACATAAAAGTAAAACATATTTATATGTTTTGTCTGGTATTTCAATCAAACAATAATACAAATATTTGTCAAAGTATTGTATTATTAATTGTAACCCTGACAAATATTTGTTTGAAAAAGCACTGGACTCACTTTATTAATAATTATATGGATATAACTTATTATAGAAAGGGATAAAACTTTGAGAAAATCTGAGAAGTTTGTTGTTATATAGGAATTATATTATATTTGAGCTAGATTATTTAATTATTTAGATGTTTATTTATTTTTAGTTAATTAAATACCCGTATTACTTGTATACTAGATTATATTTGTTTAATATAAAAATATAATATAAGTAAAGAGGTTTCATTCATAGAAATATATTTTATTGAAATGAAATATTTATTGAAAAGGTGTTGACTATTTGCCAATTATAATGCAAATTGACAGACAAAGTATAACACATATTTTATTATCATTTGCACAAAACTATTTATTGAAAAAGTTTGTTAGAAAGTTGTCACCAAAACATAACAAAAACTGTTGTCGGATGATTGAGTAAAAAATTTGTCTAGCTATTAAAACCATATTTGTTATAATAAGACTTTGATAGATGAAAGTATAATTCTCATTAAAAATTATTAATATTAATAATTTGAGGCAAATGTGAAACACTTTTATTATATATAATTAAAGTATACTAACCCTACAAAATTACTATGAAAAGTTATATTAATATAATTTTAATTGTTATATTATTCTCATTAAAATTGTATTCAACAAGTGATGTCTCATTTACACATAAACCTTATGTGAATGGCTCTAATACCTTGATCAATTGCACGGCTAAATTAAACCCATACAATGAGTATTTCTACAGCTTAAATATAAGCAAGGACGGACAGGTATTTTACAGATACGACAATCGCACTAAAATCAAAAATTAGTTAATTGTTAATTACTGATAATACTTTAAAGTATATTATAAGTTAAATAATTCCCAATTAAAATAATAGCATTTAATTGTTTATAATATAAACTTTATAAAATGTTCTATATAATCTGAATACAGTACAGTAAAATCGATAGTGTTATGATTTTATTGTATGTAATTAATTATTAATAGATATTGTTTTTATAAGAAAAATAAAAATAAATAAATAAATTCAGAATTTGAATTTTAGAAATAAATAAAAATAAAAATAAATGTACAAGTTTAATTAGACTTTAAAGTTTAAAGTAATTACAGTATTGTATTCTTTATTTGCAGTCGTGTAGTGCTATCTATGAGTAATAAATTCACGACAGATTCAGTTGTATCCTGGTCATAAAAAGGAATAATTAAAAATATTTCTATGTTTATATAAAAGTAAAAATACGAAACTAGTATTATTAATACTGTATTAATATGGATAAAATTGTAAAAATACTCGTGTAATACATAAGTTAAATTTGATGACATTTTTTCAATAAACATTTCATCAAATAGTTCTAATCTGGATCAATAATAATAATCTGGATTTCAATTAAAATTAAAAACATTGATAAATACTTCTGGTTTACTGTTACAAATTATTTTTAATGTTTTTTAAATGTGTGCTATTTCTAAGCTGAACAAATAATATAGTAATTCATGTTTATATAAGTGAGCATAATAATATATTCAAATATTTAAATTCTGTGCTCACTATATGGAGCGTTAAATGTGGAATTAATCAATAAATAGATAATACTGTAATGCAATTAATGATAATTAATTCATAATATATATGACCCTATATAGATATAGAAATAGCAAATTAATATCTGCAAATAAATGTCTAGTAATTTTCAAGTTATAAAAAGATATTTTGTTTTTATCGTTGACTAACTTATTTATACATTAGACATATAAATAAACAACTAACAAGTAAGGTGATTTGTCATTGAATTTAAACAACTCCACAGATATTGTGTCGAAAGTAATACAATAAAAATAAAACTAATAATAAAATACTTCTAGCATTTTAATGTAATACTAATTACTATTTTAATGTGAAAGGTATTCCGACACTACAGTCTACTCACGGAATATACCTATTAATAGTTATATATTCTGTTAATTGTGTACATTATATAGGGGCTGGGATAAAAGTAATTAATTATTAGCAAATATAATATTAACAATAAAGGATTCAATGCTTAATGATAGATATGATTAAGTCATTATTTAATTATTTATAATTAAAATAAAGTGTATTATAAGAAAGTTATTGAATTCAAGTTTTATATCCAACAGTATATTCCGCATACTATTGGTTAGCATTAAAAATAAGTTGTAATGTTTGAGAAGTGATAGCAAAGTACAGTANAGCATTAAAAATAAGTTGTAATGTTTGAGAAGTGATAGCAAAGTACAGTACGAGACTCTAGTCGTTATATTACAAAGTAATAGCACTTAAAAACTAATACAATAGCAATAATCATTGGTAACCACTGGTAATAAGGTCTGAATGTGTATTTGTAATGATAACTAAATGTTAGAGAGATATCGTATAGTAAAATAGTTGCGTATATGAGTCAAAAACAGTAAATAAAACATATGTAGAGACGTGTGAATAAACAGCGCTATCCTAACAGTAATACAGTGTATGCATAGGCGGCCTATCATAGGCCTACCATTGGATGCAGTGTTTTGTACGCCAATTGCATATCAGCGGCCAAACCGTACACTTGTTTCAGTCGTTTGAGTGTTTGAAAAATCATTTTCAAATCACTTGTGAAGGCATTTGTCTGTTCAACGTATTACGAGTTCATTACACTTCACACCATAATCGGTTTTAATTGTAATATAGCCGTCAAATTGTTTGAGCCGGTACACTACCACTTACACAATGCGCGAGATTGTGCACATCCAGGCCGGTCAGTGCGGTAACCAAATCGGCTCCCAGGTCAGTTTGCCAATGTGTTTATTTGGGTCTTTTGGGTGAATGAAGGGGGGTTTTCGGTATGTTTTTGGTTTGGGTTTGTTTTTTGGGTTATGTTTAGTGTTTCCGTGAGTTTGTGTTTGTAATCAGTGTTTGTATTAGCGGTGAAAAGCATTTGTTGCAAACGTGTGGTTAATATGAGACACAATTTGAGGCGATATTTCTCATATGAGGTGTGGTTTTGCATTACAATAGGCTTTCATTGTATGACTCATACAAGCAATCGCTTCGTTTGGCGCCAATTATATACATTTTTTGCCATTTTTTGACCGCTTTTTTCAAACGTATATTTAATTCATGAGTTTTAGGCATTAATTATGTGACCAAAAGTTTGTTTGTTTTAATACACACTTAAATACTACAGGATTAAGGCACGGGTGGCTTAACCACTAGTTATATGGGTTTTAACGGCTATTTTATGTTTGAATTATTGTTTCCCTATTATAACCACTTATTAATGGATTATGTTTTGATTGCATTGTCTGAATGGCGACCAGTTTTGGGAAGTGATTAGCGAAGAGCATGGCATCGATGTGACAGGTCATTATGTCGGCAATAATATCCAGCAGTTGGAGAGGATTAACGTCTACTACAACGAGTCGTCGTGTAATACACTGAACGCATGAATCGCTGCAAACTGTCACTAACCCCTGTCCCCTACCTGTCTGTCTACCCTAACAGCCAACACATACGTGCCGCGGGCCATACTCCTGGACCTGGAGCCGGGCACTATGGACGCCGTGAGGAGCAGTCAGTTCGGACGCCTCTTCCGTCCGGACAACTTCGTGTTCGGCCAGTCGGGCGCCGGTAACAACTGGGCGAAGGGTCACTACACGGAAGGTGCCGAACTGGTGGATAGCGTCATGGATGTGGTGCGCAAGGAGGCCGAGGGCTGCGACTGCATCCAGGGCTTCCAGTTGTGTCACTCCCTGGGCGGCGGCACCGGCTCCGGGATGGGAACGCTCCTCATCTCGAAGATTCGCGAGGAATATCCCGACCGTATTATGAGTACATTCAGTGTTATGCCGTCTCCTAAGGTATGGGTGCTATCTATAT